CTGCACCCAGGTACCCCGAGCCCTGGCAGCCCAGCCCCGGCCCCACCCCTGGGCGGCAGAGGCTTTCCCCTAATCCTGCGTCTTCCCAGGATCCCCGGCTGCAGGGACCGGATTCCCGAAGCGGAGGCCAGAGCAGCGCGGAGACACGCGCGGTAATTACGCCCCCTGCCGACCGTCGCCCGGGGAGTAGGCCGAGAGCGGGCGGAGGCCGGGAGGGGATTCTCCTGGAATCTGCACCGGGAAGCAGTTACCCCGCTCTACTCCTCCCCTGAAACAGGGGACTGACCCTTTGGGGCTACTTGTGGCTTTGGGCCCTCATCAGTGTCAGAAAATAGACTTTGTTATCACTTAACCTCTCCAAGCCTCAGTTTCCCCATCTGCAGCATGGGAGGTGATCCTGAGGTACTGGTGGGAGCCCATGCCAGCTCCGTGCTGCTGTCTCTCCTGCAGACTGCCCTGGCCTGGAGCCCCTGCGGCAGAAGTTGGCCACCCTCCAGGACACCCATGCCTGGATCCTTCAGGTCCCCCCAGAGCACCTGGCCATGGACTTCCAGGAGGTAGGTCTCTAGGCTTCCCAGACTCCTCCACGGTGGCCTCTGAGGGCAGACCTGGGTCAGCTCTGGTAGGGGGACAGAACGGGCACCCTCCCCAGCAGCAGGGAGGATCTTCACCCCCACAGCCTGGGGGTGGGGGTCGGAATACAAGAGGAAGGTGGGGGGAGGGCAGCTGTGTGTGAGCTAGGGTACTGGGTGGGTATGAAGGTGTGGTGCAGAGAGGGAAGATGTGAGTAGAGGGGCTTAGGGGGTGTCCATGTGAGCAGAAAGTGTGCAGGATTGTGGGGTTGAAAAGAAGGGGGTGGGTTTGAGTGAGAGTTTGGGGGGCCAGGAGGAGGGGACCAAGAGTAACATTGGAGCCCCTGAGCACCCTCCTCCCTCTGCAGGTCCTGGCCGATCTGAGCTCCAAGACGATAACAGGGCTCTTCCGAGCCTGGGTTCGAGCTGGCTTGGGGGACCGGCATGTGGTCTTTGGGGGCCTGGTGGGCCTGGAGCCGGCCACACTGGCTCGAAGCCTTCCCCGGTTGCTGGCGCAGGCCCTGCAGGCCTTCCGCTTGGCTGCTCAGGCCAAGGCAGAGCCCCAGGGAGCCTGGATGGGCGCAAGGCAAAGCCAGGAGCTGGGGGGGAAGGGGCACCACCCACTGGGCCCTCAGGTTCCTCCAGCCAGACAGCCATGAGCCATGTCTGGACCCCCAGCCTCTGGTTAGGACCTACTGCTCCCAGGGCCTGGGAGGGTTCAGGGAGCACAATGACAAACTGTCACTGCTGCAGTTGCTCAGATGTGTGGGGTGGGGTGGGGGTCCTGGGCCCTGGGCCCCTCGTGTCTTCCCAGATGTGTCATCAGAAAATCACAGTTGCTTTAATAAATGTTATTTATGATGTACGGAGACAATGCTGGAGCTTTTGTGGCATGGAAACTGGATGGGGGACATCAGCTCTCTGGGAGTGGGGCCCGTGCAGGGCAGGCCCAGCCTTTAGAAGCAGTTGGCAGAAGTCACAAAGACAGGGTTCAGGGCTGCTAAGCCCCCATCTGAGCAGACCTGTCTGCCACCCAAGAAATGGCAGCTGATCTGCTTATCACCACTCCTTGATCCGTGGCTGACCAGCACTGTCCACGGTGTCCATTGCCTCCCCCCAGCCCTCACCCCCATGGCTAGCTGTGGAGACTCCTAGCCTGGGATCTTTGCCTCATGTCCTTGGGCTTCTGCCCTGCTAGCCAGTTCCTATCCTCACCCCCTCATCACCTGCCCCGGGTTCTCGGCCCTACAGCAGAGCACAGAGGTATCAGATTGCATTTCCGGCTGCCTTTTTCCTCAGCTCCTCCACCCCCACTCTGCACCTGTCCCCTCTGCCACTCACCCACATTCCCCAGCCCAGTGGACAGGAGGAGCAGATGCAGGACCTAGTTGGTGAGACAGGATGGAGGGGCCTGTGTTAACGCTGGGACTGCTGGCCACCCTGGTTGTGTGTGGTAAGATTGGACATCATCCCACCCACCCAGCTCCCCCACAGCACAGTGCCCTCCTGTCCCTCCCCCAGCCTCACGGCCCCCTCCCCACTCCCACTGCCATTTCTCCCTGGAGGACCGACCACCAGGGCCCTGCTCCTGGGCCCCTGCCCAGCACCCGTCCTGTCCCCAACTATCCCCAGGCTGCTGGGGTCTAAATGAGGAGGAGCGGCTGATCCGGTACCTGTTTAAGGAGAAGGGCTACAACAAGGAGCTCCGGCCCGTGGCTCGCAAAGAGGACAGCGTGGACGTCTCACTGGCCCTCACCCTCTCCAACCTCATTTCCCTGGTGAGTGGCCCCTCCATGGCTTGGCTGGGGACTGGAGGGCAGGGACAGTTTCCTTGAGGCCTGGCTCTCTCCCGGACTGGGATGGCCACGAGGGAAGCTCAAGGCTGAGGGCCGGCCTGTGGCAATTCCTCTCTCTGTGCCCTGTGCTGCCCCCAGACCCTCAGGCTAATACCCCTCCCTTCCAGCTGTCACTCTGGGATGTCCCCCATATCACACCCGAGACACACTTCAGAGGCCTTGTGTCCTCCCTGCTCCCTGGCCTGCCCACCCACTCCTGAGTGTTTGGGGTAGGAGTTTGGTCAGGCCGATTGCCACGGATTCCCCTGGGTGGCAGCCAGGAGGAGGTGCCTGGTGAATGCGTGCAGCTGAAAGAATGGTGCAGGACCCTGGGGACAGCCCTCCTGTTTTCTTACAGAAAGAAGTCGAGGAGACTCTCACCACTAACGTGTGGATTGAGCACGTAAGAACACCCCACTCAGAGCAGGGCTCGGTGAGGGTGCAGGCCTAGGCTCCCCTGTGCCCGCTTCTGCTCGGGAATCCCCAGCCTGCCTCAGACATTTTCCTGCAGGAGGCACTGGCTCCTGCCTGCAGAGAAACCCCAGCCAGCTGCCCTTGCCCACCTAGTGCAGCCACCAGCCCAGACAGAGCCTTTGGGCGGATTGGGATTCTTCATCTGTGGGAAATTATCACAGTATCCTGATTTTATTAGAAGACACCCTCTGCCACCTGCCAGAAGTTCACAACATTGACATACGCCTTCTATATCCACAATGGAAATACTGTTCCTTTAGTTGTGTAGTGTGCATCCTACACAGCCCTGCATGACAGACCCGAGTCCCTGCTCCATACCCACCTCCCCAAACCTCTTTTGTCACAGCCCTGTCTTCCCTCAAGGAAGTTGGGGGGAGTGAAGGGGCCAGGACAATAGCAGAACCCACTGCTGACATTCCTGTCCGCCTTCAGGGCTGGATGGACAGCCGGCTGCAGTGGGATGCCAAGGATTTTGGGAACATCAGCGTCCTGCGCCTGCCCCCTGACATGCTGTGGCTCCCAGAGATTGTGCTGGAGAACAAGTTGAGCCGCAGCGCTCCCTGGCCTCCCCTCATCACTCGACCCCCTTCCTTAAATATCCTGAGCCTCCCCCTCCAGCCCCAACCTGCCCTCCCTCCTCTTCTTCCCCCAACCCTGCCATTTGGAAGCTGGCCCATGCTCACTGTGGCCCTTGTCCCTGTCCCCCAGCAATGATGGCTCCTTCAAGATTTCCTACTCCTGCAACGTGCTGATCTATCCGTCAGGCTCTGTGTACTGGCTGCCACCTGCCATCTTCCGCTCTTCCTGTCCCATCTCCGTCACTTACTTCCCCTTTGACTGGCAGAACTGCTCCCTCAAGTTCAGGTGCACCCACTGCTCCAACCACCCCTCCCCCCAGGGCACCCTGCCAGGGGCCACCTTCAGGCAGAGGCTTCTGGTCTGTCCAGATTAGAGCTCCCCTCCCCCACAATGGCCTCTCTGACCCTGGGGCATTTCTCCAGCCAGTGGCTGAGAACCACCCTCTACCACTGCCCTCCCCAGTTCGCTCAAGTACACGGCCAAGGAGATCACCCTGAGCCTGAAGCAGGAGGAAGAAGATGGCCGCTCATACCCGGTGGAGTGGATCATCATCGACCCTGAGGGCTTCACAGGTGCTGGGAGCAGCAGCTGGCGGGTGGGCAGATGGGCAGGCCTCTCAGGACCTCCCCCACAGACACACATACAGTCACACCGACACCGCCGAGATGCACGTCTGCGCACCCACACCTGACACACACACTCACATGACACTAATCTAGCACGCTGAGAGGACGAAGTGCGGCTGGGGGGACTGTGTTCCAAAGGCAGAGACAGATGAGCACCGTGCCCCACCCCCGCCTCTGCCCAGGCCAGAAGACCCTCTGGGTCTGAGCAGGTCCCTGGGGATGGATGTGGCTGACAGGTGAGGGGGTGCTTAGTCTTTCTGTCCCTCAGATCTTTATATATATATATATGTATATATATAATTGATTTCAGAGAGGAAGGGAGAGGGAGAGAGAAATAGAAACATCAATGATGATAGAGAATCACTGATTGGCTGCCTCCTGCATGCCCCCTCCTGGGGATCAAGTCCGAAACCCAGGCATGTGCCCTTGACCAGAATCAAACCTGGGGCCTTTCAGTCCACAGGCCGATGCTCTATCCATACAGCCAAACCAGCTAGGGCCAGGCACAGATCTTTTATGGGGTCACCCCTGTCCATCAGAGGAGACCCACGTCCTGCTGATCCATCACACTTTGGGGGAGTGGGTTCTTACTCTCACTGCCTTGTTATCCCCAAGACTCCATATTTGAGCCACATATGGCCTTAGCTTTCATGTTTTCCAAAGAGAAAAAACAAACAAACAAAAAAACTAATCCCAGAGGAAAATTTCTCCCTTGCAGGTGGAAACCTCCATCCCAATCCCCAGGGAAAGACCCACAAACAAAACCTGAGCCCTCCTCTGAATGCCCCCCTCAGAGCCCTGCAGACAGGCCTGGCTGCCCCTGGGGGTGGCTCACTCCACCAGCCCCTCATCCTGCCCCAAGGCCCCCCCTTAGCCCCCTTGCCCAGACTGACTCCAAGGTGTCTGTGTGCTGCCCTCAGAGAACGGGGAGTGGGAGATAGTGCACCGGCCAGCCAGGATCAACATGGACCCCAGTGCCCCGCTGGACAGTCCCAACCACCAGGACATTACCTTCTACCTCATCATTCGCCGAAAGCCACTCTTCTACATCATCAACATCCTGGTGCCCTGCGTGCTCATCTCCTTCATGATCAACCTGGTCTTCTACCTGCCAGCCGACTGTGAGCCTCTCACCTGGCCTCAGTGCTGGCCCAGCTCCCAGGCTGCCTAGGCAGCCTCTTCCCACCCCCAAGGTCACCAGAGCAATGACCACCTAGCCCAGCCTCTCACTTCCTCCTGGGAGCTCCCTGGGGGTCACCACTGCCCAGGGTCCAGGCATGAGGGGCATGTTGCCAGCCAGAGGGGGGGCTCTTTGACCCTGTCCTACATCCCCCAAATGAACAGGGTCCCTCCTGTACCCTCCGTCTCCTTCTCACTTTCCAAGGACCTAGACTGCCTCTCAGCCAGAGCAGGAGTCAGGTCTGTCATGGTCAGCATGTGTGGCTGTGGGTCTGGCACACGGGAGGCCATCAGTGGTTGAGTCAATGGGGGTGGGGGTCATGGGAGCTCTAGAGAACCAGGGTATGGAGATGCGCACCCTCCCTTACCAGTTCTAGAAGGGCATGTGTCACCTACACTTACTCGGCTCTGGACTATTTACTATGAACAGGCACAGCGAGTCCCAGAGACAAATGCCACCCAGCCCTGCCCCTGCTTGAGACAGGGTGAGCGGTATATTGCACATAGAAAAAGGGTGCTGGGGCAGGGCCCTGGACCCGTGACCACAGTGGCCACCACATGGTTTGCTCAGGGCCCGGCTAGGAGTTGGGGTGTTACTCTGGTGCTGTCTGTGCAGGAGGGATACACACAGATCTGCAATTTAGGAGGGCTGAGTGGCAGGGCATTGGCCAATGGTGACAGCTGGTGTTTGAGGTCTTACTCAGTTCCAGGAGGAGTGACCAGCGTTTAATATACTCTCCCACTTAGTCCTCTCAACATCTAACAGTTGAGAAAACTGAGGCACAGAGAGGTTAGGCTACAAACCCAGGGTCACCCAGCCAGTAAGTGTCAGAGCTGGAATTTGATTCCAGTCACTTTAGCTCCAAAGCCTATTATGCTAATTAGGCCACCATGGTATTGTGAACAATGGTGTGAGGTCCACAGTGGGATCCTCTGGGACCAGCGGTCACGGCTAAGTCCAGGCTCCCTCAGGTGGTGAGAAGACGTCAATGGCAATCTCAGTGTTGCTGGCACAGTCTGTCTTCCTGCTGCTCATCTCCAAGCGGCTGCCGGCCACATCCATAGCCATCCCCCTCATCGGCAAGTATGTAACCCCCTTCCTCCCCACCACACCCCACCTCGCCTCACCCCACCATGCCGCGCCATTCCCCACATCACCCTGGCATGCCATGTCATGTCCTGCCACACCCTGGATGCTCCAGGCTGAGTGTGTGCCCACAGGTTCCTGCTCTTTGGCATGATACTGGTGGCCATGGTCGTGGTGATCTGTGTCATCGTGCTCAACATCCACTTCCGCACACCCAGCACCCACGTGCTGTCCGAGGGGGTCAAGAAGGTGAGGGCTGCCAATAGCTCACAGGTCCCCCTACAGGTGTCTGGGCAAAATCACTGAGCTATTTCATGAGGGGGAGTGCTCCCTGCAGTACAAATGCACCAACTGCTGCTATGCATGCCAGCCAGGGTGGACAACTCTCCCAGGTGTACTGTTACCTGTAAGAAGCCAGGCACAAAAGAGCACAGACTGCACAATTTATTTTGCATGAAGTTCAAGGGCAGGCAAAACCAAATGCTAGAGGTAGAAGTCAGGATGGTGGTTCCCTCTGGGGGCGAGAAGGAATTGATGTGGGGAGGCAGAGGGAACCTTTTGGGGATAGTGTTTGATAACTTATCTGGGTGGTGTTTGACACAATTGAGTGCATCTGTAAAATTCCACCTGGCACTTCGTGGCAGTCAGAAATGGAGTGACGGGTGTTTGGATGTGTGAAGGTAACCCGTGTTGGTTAACTGGCCTTCCTGTGTCCCCCTGATCTGCCACAGCTTTTCCTAGAGACCCTGCCCAAGCTCCTACACATGTCCCTCCCAGAGGAGGACAGCCCTGGCCCTGGGGCCCTGGTCCGGAGGAGCAGCTCCCTGGGTTACATCTCCAAGGCCGAGGAGTACTTCTCGCTCAAGTCCCGAAGTGACCTCATGTTCGAGAAGCAGTCAGAGCGGCACGGGCTGGCCCGGCGCCTCACCACAGCACGTGGGTCCCAGTGGCTTGGGGTTTGGCCCCACCATGGGAGGTGGGGGGGAGGGTGGGGGAAAGGCCTCATGCCCATCTCAAATCTGTCTCCTCAGGCCAGCCCCCTGCAGGCTCTGAGAAGGCCCAGCATGACCTCTTCAGTGAGCTGAAGCCAGCTGTGGAGGGGGCCAACTTCATCGTCAACCATATGAGGGATCAGAACAACTACAATGAGGTGAGTGGCTGCAGGGCTGCATGCACAGGTGTTTACGTTGTGTGCTGGTCAAGGGTAGCCTATCTCAAGGGGCCACAGTTCCCCTCAGAGACACATGCCAACTTAGATGAAGGAGTTGACAAAGAATGCAAAACCCAGGCCCCCCCAGAGACGGGAAGCCCCTGCCTAGAACCCCATCACAGCTCACTGGGCCAGGCACACACTCAGGTGTACGCACAGGCGCATGTCTTCACATTCTGGACATCCCTTAGGGTCCCTTCTTTCTCCCAGCTGCCAATCATTTTCTTTCCCTGCTCAATTCCAAGCCTGATACTATAGACACAGCCAGACATTTAAAAGGCAGACCTCTATGGTTGTTCAATATAACACAACTTTCTAAAATTTTCTCTTGAGAAAAGGGTGCCGTGTTCCAGTTCCCATGGGGGCTACCAGCAGCACTGAGTGGCTGGGATGAAGACTGTGGCCCCACTCTTAGTCTCCTGGACTGAAATAATGACCAACCTGCCTGTGGCCAGAGTAGGGCCTGGGCCTTGGGGACATGCAGAAGGCCCCCCTCTGCTGTGAGCCCGAGGTGGCTCCCACTGACACCCGTCTGTCACTGGGCCCCAGCTTGGGGCATGGGCCTGTGGTCTGCGGGCCCTCCTCATCCTACTGTCTCTGCCCCCCTCCCTGTCCCCAGGAGAAGGACTGCTGGAACCGGATAGCCCGCACAGTAGACCGACTCTGCCTGTTTGTGGTGACGCCCATCATGGTGGTGGGCACGGCCTGGATCTTCCTGCAGGGGGCCTACAACCAGCCCCCACCCCAGCCTTTCCCCGGGGACCCCTTCTCCTACCTGGAGCAAGACAAGCGTTTCATCTAAAGGGCTTCCCTGCCTGGGTTGGCCCAGCTCCCCGGGCAGCTTCGGTGGGGCTTTGTGCCTGAAAGGGATGGGCCTTCAGGGGTGGCAGTAGCTCTGTGGACAGGGGTGCCTGAGAAAGGACAAGCTCCTCTTAGGGAGGCGACTCCTGGCCCTGAGACTTGAGCCCAGTTGGTTCTGCACGGCTGAAGTGGAGATGAGCTGTGCCTCCTGAGACAAGGAAAGGCGAAGCCCCACTCCTCAATAAAGACAGGAGCCACCAAGGTCTGAGAGTAGACACTGGCTGGTGGGTGGGTCAGGACGACTTTTGGGGAGATAGGGGCCTGACTCAAGGGCCAGGGAAAATGTCATTCAGGCTGGCCTTTTGGGACCCTTCTGTGAGAAAGACAGTGGCCTCTTCTTGCCTCCCCTTCCTCTAGGTGGGGGTAGAGCAGGTGGGCTCCTGTGCCCTCACTTCCTGGTTCCTACAGCTGTCAACCCCTCAGCCTTGGCTTCTGAGGCCCCCCCAGAGCCTCCTTTTCCAGACCCCTTAGGGAAGGAGGTTTTGGGCAGAGGTGGAAGCACCAATGTTTCAGAATGTCCTTCCCAGCTCTTTCTGCTTTGGCCACTCTGTCTGGGTCCCTGTGGGGAGCTGAGGACTCGGGTAGGGGAATTGGGCCCAGCAGCTATAGAGGCCAGAGGACAGCCCATCAACCTCAGCTCACATGGGCTACCCTAGGGCCCCAGATCTCAGCCCTCCCCCAGAGTATCCCCTTATGGTCACCTATTCCTCTCCTCCAAAGTAGGGTTGCCTGGCAAAACTAAAAAATTATTCATATTTATCTGAAATTCAAATTTAACTGTGCATTTTATATATTTACTAGAGGCCCGGTGCACGAAATTCATGCATGGGGCAGGGGGTGTCTCTCAGCCCGGCCTGCACCCTCTCCAATCTGGAACATCCCCCTCACAATCCGGGACTGCTGGCTCCTAACCACTCGCCTGCCTGCCTGTCTGATTGCCCCTAACCGCTTCTGCCTGCCAGCCTGATCGCCCCCAACTGCCCTCCCCTGCCAGCCTGGTCACCCCCAACTGCCCTCCCCTGCAGGCCTGTTCGCCCCCAACTGCCCTCCCCTGCTGGCCATCTTGTGATGACATGAGGGTGTTGTGTGAGGGCACGAGGACCACCTAAGCTTTTATTAGTATAGATTTGCTAAATCCGGCAACTTTACCCCTAAGGGGACTTCCATCAATATTATCCTAAGGGCCAAAGGCTGAAACTGGAGGAGCTGGAGGAGGTTCTGTGAGGTACCCCACCTCAGGATGGCCCCAGTGATCCCCACCTCCTGTCCTCATACCCCCGTGTAGCGCCATACCAGGATTGGTCCGGGTGACCAATAGAATGAGGCAGGAGTGATGGCATGTCACTTTCGAGGTTAGGTTATAGAAGACATCAAAGTGCCCCCACCTTGCCCTGCTCTTGCTCCCGCTCCTTCACTCTCACTCTCATGTGGGGAAACCAGGAGGCATGATGAGCACGCTATGGAGAGGCACACGGCAAGGAACTGAGGCCTCCTGCCAACGGCCGGCCACTGGGTGAACTTGGAAGTGGGTCCTCCAGCCCCAGTAGGACCTTGGACAAGATCACACTCCCCACGACAACCCCTGAGCCAGAGCCACCCAGGGGAGGTGCTCCTGGTTCCTGACCCCCAGAAGATGTGGGAGACAATAAAAGTTTGTTGCTTTAAGAGACAACGCTTTGCGTAGTTTGGAGCTGTGGGACCTTGGACGAGCCACTCCTCGTGTCTCAGCTTTAGTTTTCTCATCTGCAAAATACGCGTAAAATAAGACTCGTTCACGGGATGTTGTGAAAATGAGAATTGCTACATGTGTCCCACAAATTAAGAGGTGGCTGTTTATCTCGTTTCTCATTGGGGGGCCTCAGTCACCGAGGATGGACCCCTCTTGTGAGGTCTCCTACATCCAAGCCTGGGGTGGTGACTGAGAACCGGAGCAGGTGCAGATGGCCCTATTACTCGCCTCCTGGGGTCCAGGCTTCAGGTCTTCACAGCTCGCCCCATTTCCCTCAGAAGGTGTCTATAGCCCATGAGCTCAGCTGTACAGAAGGTGACTTGTTTAGTTTTTCAATGGAACTGAGGGAAAATACCAAAACTGACCCTACTTCCGCCTTCCAATATAAATCATCTACACATTCAAGGTACACATTTTTAATTCCCTTTGAATAGGGAAACTAGCTTGGACTTACACCTGTCGGTGAGCAGGAAATCAGTCCCTGGAATAGTCCACCACTTCGGTCCACCAACTCCCAGAGGGTCCCTATTTCAAACACAGAGAAGAAAGGGGTCTGGATTAGATTCCTCGGCCAGTCGTTGCTTCTCTCTGCCACACGGTGGTGCTGTTGGCAGCGGGTCTTACACATCCCAATCAACAGGTGAATCAGTGGTGTCAGGCCTAGCTCAGGTAGCTGTGAGCCTTCCAGAAAAGACAACTCCAAATGCCACACCCAATCCAAACTGCCTGTTGTACAGGTTCCCAGAGCCACCGAGGGTCCCCCAACAGCACCCACTCCCCCAGCACTCCAGCTCCAGGTGCTGTCAGGACTGGTCCATAGGAAGTCACACCCACAGGGGCCAGCTGTCCATGAAGCCAGGACTGTCCCTACACATCTCCCCAGGCCAGCTGGGCTACCTGCCCTCTTTCAAAGGGTGATGACTCCATTAGGAATACACTGAACTGCAAGGAACAGAAAACCCCAAGACTCATGGCTTAAATAAGTAAGGTTTCCTCTTTCTCACATAATAAGAATCGCAGGGCCGTGGTTGCATCGTTGCTTCAGCTGTCCCACAAAGCTATCAGGGACCCAGGCTTGTTGCCCCAGGTTGCAAGCTGACTGCCACAGCTCCGCACTGCCCATCTGTGTTCAAGGCAGGAAAGGGGCCAGCCATTTCTGACCCCTTTTATCAGGAAGCAAAAGCTTCCCTGAAGCCCCTCAGCCAACTTCTGCAAACATACCATTAGTTATCACATGGCCACTCTTAGCTACAAAGGAGCCTGGGAAATGAACATTTCACTTTTCCGGCCTCTAGAGTAGAAGGTGGTGATGGAGTAATTGTTAGACAATAAATGACGCCTACAGAAGATTGTCTCTTGATGTGTCCCAGACCTTCCCTTTAACCCCTCCAGGCCAGAAACTGCCACTCCTCAAAGGCAATGTACCCTCCTGAGAACCAAGGAGACTTCTCAGCCACTCTCGCAGAGCAGAGAGGAGAAAACAGGAGTTTAAAACTTCATACATAGGGAGGTGGCATAATTCAAAGCAGAGAGAAACCAGTCTCCATCCTCTCCCTTTTCCCTCCCTCCCAAACACTGTGGGGATGGAAGAAGGCAAAGTGAAAAATGCTGAAGCATCAGTTGAACCACTTGTGCCTGGACCTATGTCTGGGAGGATGGTGCCGGGAAAGGGAGAGAGATGGGTGGCCCATTACTGAGCAGAAGCCATGAATGATCTTTGGCAAAGTGTGGTTTTAGAGGGAAGAGCTATTGCTCTGCAAAATGGGTGAGGCAATTGAGTCTGGGGGCACCAGAGGGCAGAGTGGGAAGAGGGGGCATTGGTTTTGTAAACTCCAGAGAAAGTAGCCCTAGGTGCATGGGGAGATCAAAGCTTGGGGTGGGGGTGCTGTCAAGGAAAATCACGTGTGGGGCCCAGAGCAGGACTGAATGCAAGGAGGGCAGCCGAGCCACCCACATAACACAGAACAAGCAGATGTCCAGGGAGGCAGCTGCTACCACTACCGCCTCCCCTCCTCCAAGTCCTTGTGAGGGCAGGAGGAGCTGTGGCCCTGCTACAGGGGCTGGGATCTGAGCCAACCTCTCACTTGGATCGCCAAGGACAGGGCATGTCACATGACTTCCGGTTTACTGACACACATTGAAAAGCCACAGACAGCCCTACCTGGTTTGGCTCAGTGGATAGAGCGCTGGCCTGCAGACTGAAGGGTCCCGGGTTCAATTCCAGTCAAGGGCGCATGCCTGGGTTGTGGGCTCAATCCCCAGAATGGGGCGTGCAGGAGGCAGCCAATCGATGGTTCTCTCTCATCATTGATGTTTCTATCTCTCCCTCTCCCTTACTCTCTGAAACCAATAAAAAAATATTTTTTAAAAAAGAAAAGCCACAGACATCATTCATTTGTGGGGTGGGGACATGTTCTCAAATGGTGCTTTCCTCCAGACCTCAGAGGCATCTGCCACCCTGCCCCCTAAGATACTGAAGGGTGGGTGGCATGAACGGGAAACTGAATTTTCTGCCTTGCCCATGAACGGGGACACGCTGACCTGTCTGCTTGGAATAGATGGTCAGAAGACAGGTGGCCTGAGCCTGTGTCACAGCCATCGGCTTCCAGATCAGCTTCGCCCCACCCTTCCCGTGACCACAAACCATGAAGTGGATGGAGCTTCTTTTCCAGCCCTTCTAGGTTCCCTTATTCGACTCTCAGGGGGCCACAACTTCTTGTCCCATGGACTGTGAGCTTCTGCGAGCAGCTCCCATGTATTCCGAGTCCCCCAAGCCTAGAGCTGTGCCTACCATAAGTCTACAGATGATTTAATAAATACGGAGGAACCCCTATTGAAGGGCTGTACTATTCACAAGAGCCCCAAGTTTCAGATCTTTCTCAGCCCTCCTTACTACAAAGCTTACCAGGCTGGGACCCATGCCTCAGAGACAGGAAGGATCCTGACCTGACACCCTGATTTGTGTTAAGGTGTCAGAGCCTGGTGCACATCATGCATCTTTCTTGTAGGCGTTGTGCCTTCTGGTGTCTTGGCCCAGTGGAGTGATCCATTAAGATGTCAGGCTGGTGGGAGAGGTTTGGGGTCCTCAGCCATGTCATAGAGAAAGTCGGGTACAAAACATGCCTAACCAAAAGTCTTCACACTTCCCCAAATCCTGACATGCTGGAGGGAGCAGGAGCAGGAACTCTTCCTAAGCACTCTGCCTTCTCTCCCACACCCACGAGGCCCTGGCTGCATCCTCAGCTCCCCCGCTGGACATGAATCTGGGACAACTGAGCCTGAGGGGGGATGGAGGCTGGACCATCTCTGTTGGGACAGACGGGCCCCACTGTCCCCTCCCCAGCCCAGGTAACCCGAGCCTGGCATTTTGTCCATCCTAGAACAGCTGACAGTGCTGTGGTCAGACAGCTGTGGGGCTGGGCCAGCCTGGCCGGGCTGACTGGGGTGGGAGTGTGGGCTGTTACATGAGACCAGCGTCTGCATCTCTCGGCCTCAGACCTGGGAGCTGCCGTCCCAGTCCTGTCCCGTCGGAGAGCTGTGACACCATGCACGGGGGTCAGGGGCAGCTGTTCCTCCTGCCGCTGCTGGCTATCTGCCTGGGTGTGGACACAGGGGCTTGGGGCCTGGGGAAGACCGGAGCAGGGGACCAAGGCCTCAGGAGACGGAGGGACTGGAGGGCTATTGGCGCCTGCCCCCAACCCAGCTCTCTGCCTTTCCATGTCACATCCTCTCATGGCCTCCCCGTCTTTCTGCCCCAAAGTTCCTGCGCCCAGGCTTACCGCTGTCTGTTTCAGGAGCCCAGGGCCGGAACCAGGAGGAGCGTCTGCTGGCCGACCTGATGCACAGCTACAACCCCCACCTGCGGCCTGCTGAGCGGGATGCGGACGTGGTCAACGTCAGCCTGAAGCTCACCCTCACCAACCTCATCTCCCTGGTGAGCCACGGGCTGTAGGGGGATGGGGAGGAGGGACCAGGGACCTGCTAGGGAGAGGAAGGTGCTAGAACACTCCCAAGGGGACTGCCCAAGAGGCTGGGGTCCTTGGGGGACCCAACAATGGCCTGTAGGGACA